GAGAAAGAGAAACTCCCTTCTCTTTTGCAATAGCCCCGCGGGATCTTTAACATCCACCTGAACAGGCAGACGGGACCTCGGTTTAACATCTCAGCTGAAGGTCAGCACCTCCTCTCTACAATTCCCAGTTCTCACGTCACATCAGTTAGAAAGTTAAGATGAAACACGACAAAGAGTCAAGTATTTCTAACTGCACCGATATTTGAACATTGATTTTTCCCAGAAACCCAGTTGAAAGTCTATTTGTTGTATAATTTATCACTTGTTTCCACACTGTTCTCTGGAGACAGACTTACTGTTGACGTTTTTATTGTTTACTGAAGTTCCTCTCAACTATTTCGCCCACAAAATACACAGTCACTCCACTTTACAGTATATTCTGTGAAGTGCTTTCCCAAGACTCAACAACGTGATAAGGTGCTATATTCTTTGACCGTGTCTTCTCTTTGACCGAGCCTTCAGCTCCCCTCTCGACTCTCTTCCTCCTCCTCGCTCCCTCCCTTCCCTCCCCTCACCCTGACCATTTCCCCCCTCCTCTCTCTCTCCCTTCCCTCCCCTCACCCTGACCATTTCCCCCCTCCTCGCTCCCTCCCTTCCCTCCCCTCACCCTGACCATTTCCCCCTCCTCTCTCTCTCCCTTCCCTCCCCTCACCCTGACCATTTCCCCCCTGCTCGGGTCATGACCCAACTGTGCAGCGCCTTGGGACGTCCTCCTGACGTGAAAGGCGCTCTATAAGTGGAATCTTGTTGTTGTTGTTGTTGTTGTTGTATATTAATGTGGCAGGATTATTATTATTAAGTTCAGAGTTTGTAGCATAGATTGGAACAGACAGATACTGAGCCTGTCATGTCCCGGGTCCCAGCTTTAACTTGATTTGTGGGACACTGAGCATTCCCTTCCAACAATCTAGCTCAGGGATTTCCTTGTGTGGGGGGAATGTATGGAATTCTTAGTTGGTTTGGAGACTCTAGAGCACGGTGACGGGTTTCGTGTGTGTCAGAAACCCGGCTGGTCACGGTGACAGGTTTTCGTGTGTGTCAGACACCCGACTGGTCACGGTGACGGGTTTCCGTGTGTGTCAGACACCCGGCTGGTCACGGTGACGGGTTTCCGTGTGTGTCAGACACCCGACTGGTCACGGTGACGGGTTTCCATGTGTGTCAGACACCCGGCCGGTCACGGTGATGGGTTTCCGTGTGTGTCAGACACCCGGCTGGCAAACAACAACAACAACAAGATTCCATTTATAGAGCGCCTTTCACGTCAGGAGGACGTCCCAAGGCGCTGGACAGTTGGGTCAGGACCCGAGCATTGGGGGGAAATGGTCAGGGTGAGGGAAGGGAGGGAGCGAGGAGGAGCTGGAGCGTCGAGAGGGGAGCTGAAGGCACGGTCAAAGAGAAAGATCTTGAGACTAACCTTGAAGGAGGAAAGGGAGGAAGCGGCGAAGGCACTGGGGGATAGAGTTCCAGAGCCAACTGAGCCATTAGGACAGAGCTTCTGTTCTGCAGTTTATGAATACAGTCCATAACAGTCCATCAGAAGACATGAAGGTCTGTTTATGTACATTAGACTCACAGTTCAGACCTCCTCAGTGGGTTTTTTTCAACAAATAATCCATTGCCCCTTCTACTGCCCGTTTCTTGTCCTGTAGCTCAGTGGTGAGTGCACTCACCTCACAAGAGAGAGGACCCGGGTTCGATTCCCGCCCAGTGCAAAACCTTAGGCAATTTTCCTTACTCCACACACCTCTGTTTATCTATCAGTAAGTAGGAACCAGTTGTTATTTGATTGTCAGATCACTTTCTGGCTGTAATAATCCCTCAAAAGTGAAACAAAAATTGGTCGCTCAATATTTGTGAATGCTGCTGTGCGCAACTGGCTGCCGCGTTTTGCCCACAAAATATACACTCAGTCAACTTCACAATGTGTTCTGTGAAGCGCTTTGAGATGTCTCAATGACGTGATAAGACGCTGTATCAAATGCAAGGATTATTATTATTTTTATTATCTGACCATATCCCTCAATCTCTTCTCTGTCCAGTTACACGTGTCAAGCACTGAGCTTCACTGGCCCTGCCTGGTAATCCTTCTACAATGGCAAGCTATGCAGGTTTAGCTGGTTAGACTCCAGCAGTTACCTCAATGCACTCTGGGGTCCCCAAGCCTTAGCATTCAGTTCAATTCAGTTACTGTGTTCAGTTTTGGGCACCACACCTCAGGAAAGATTTAGAGTTTTTTGAGGATGTAACTAGCAGGTTAGATAGGGGGGAACCAGTAGATGTGGTGTATTTGGATTTCCAGAAGGTGCCACATAAAAGGCTGTTGCATAAGATTAGAGCCCATGGAATTAAAGGTAATATATTAGCATGGATTGGAGAGTGGCTAACAGGAAGAAAACAGAGAGTAAGGATAATGTGGTGGAGTGCCACAAGGATCAGTGTTCGGGCCTCAATTATTTACAGTCTATATCAATGATTTAGATGAGGAATTAGAACTTAACATATCTAAATTCGCAGACGATACAAAGCTAGGTGGGAGAGTAAGCTGTGAGGATGACACAAGAGGAATGCAAAGAGATATAGATAGGCGAGGGGAGTGGGCAAGAAGGTGGCAGACGGAGTATAAGTGTGAAGTTATTCACCTAGATAGTAAAAACAGAAAAGTAGATTATTTTCTAGAGGGGGAGAGACTAGATAGTGTTAGTGTTCAGAGGGATTTGGTGTCCTTGTACACCAGTCACAAAAGTTAGTCTACAGGTACAGCAGCAACTAGGAAGGCAAATGGCATGTTGGCGTTCGTTGCAAAAAGGTTAGCGTACAAGAGTAGGGAAGTCTTGCTGCAGTTGTATAAGGCCTTGGTGAGACAGCACCTGGAATATTGTGTGCAGTTTTGGTCTCCTTATTTAAGAAAGGACATACTCGTCTTAGAGGGGGTGCAGTGTAGAATCACTCGGTTGGTTCCTAGGATGAAGGGTTGACCTACGAGGATAGGTTGAGTAAACTAGACCTATATTCTCTAGAATATAGAAGGATTAGAGGTGATCTTATTAGTAACCTATAAGATTCTTAAGGGTCTTGACAGGGGAGATGCCATGAGATTGTTTTCCCTGGTTGGAGAATCTAAAACTAGGGTTCATAGTCTCAAGATTAAGGGTCAGCCTTTTCGAACTGAGTTGAGGAAACATTTCTTCACTCAGAAGGTAGTGAATTTGTGGAATTCTCTACCCCAGAAGGCTGTGGATGCTCAGTCTTTGACATATTCAAGACTGAGGTTGATAGATTTCTAAAGTTAGAGGGATTAAAGCATAGAGGGATTAAGGGATATGGGGATAGGGCGGGTAAATGGAATTAGGTTAGAAGATCAGCCATGATCTTATTAAATGGCAGGGCAGGCTCGAGGGGCCGAATGGCCTACTCCTCTTATTTCTTTATGGTCTTAAGATATATTGTTATTATTATATTGGCCCTGGAGGGAGTGCAGCACAGGTTCAATAGAATGTGACCAGGCCTAAAAGCGTTAAGTTACGAGGATGGGTGAGTAAACTTGGATTGTATTCCCTTGAGTTTAGAAGGTTGAGGGGGGATTTGATTGAGGTGTTTTAAGATGATAAAGGGATTTGATAGGGTAGATACAGAGAAGCTATTTCCTCTGGTGGGGAATCCAAAACAAGGGGCATAGTCTGAAAATTAAAATCAGGCCATTTAAGAGTGAAATCAGGAGCATTTTTTCACTCAAAAGGGTGGTAGAAATTTGGAATTCTCTCCCCCAAAAGGCCATGGATGCTGGATCCAACCACACCTTCAAGAGTGAGGTTGATAGATGGTTGGTAGGTCAGGGCATTAAGGGATATGGGGGGAAAGTGGGAAATTGGAATTGAAAGGATTAGTTGAGCCAAGATCTAATTAAATGGCGGAACAGGCTTGAAGGGCTGGATGGCCTACTCCTGTTCCTGTGTTCCTATGGCTCTTGCCAACCTGCGGCTAATACTCTCTAGAATTAGCAGCGGGTGGTTGGGGAGGGAGAGAGCACATTTCATTCCAAACACGGGGAAAATTTCCATGGACATATGTGTAACTCCCAGGCAGGTGTGGATACTGTTTAAGCACAGTGATGAAGTGATGACGCACAGTCTGCACGTGTTAGACACTGTGGGAAACCCAGCTTTCAAATAATAATAATAATCTTTGCATTTGATATAGCGCCTTATCACGTAATTCAGATGTCTTAAAGCGCTTCACAGATTATACTATAAAATGAATTGACTGTGTATTTTGTTGGTGAAACGCAGCAGCCAATTGCGGACAGCAGTGTCCAACAAACAGCCGTGGATTGAGTGACCAGATTATTGTTGTTTTTTTGAAGGGATTATTACCCCTGGAAAGGGATCTGCCAATCGACTAACAACCATGTTCCTACTCACTGCTGGTAACCAGAAGCGTATAGAGTAAGGAAACATGCCTAAGGTTTCGCTCTGCCTGGGAATCACACCCAGGGTCTCTCGCTTGCGAGGCGAGGGCTCTAACCCCTGAGCTACAGTCCTGCACTAAGTCAAATTAAGACCCAGTTTGAGATTGTTCCAAAATCCTGCTCAGTCTTAAATTTGAAGACTATGGCTTTAACGCCATTTTGAGCCTCAATCGCATTGTGGATAGCGGGGGTTGGAGAGCGGGTTAGAGTCAATGTTTTGTAAACCAGTTAAACTCAGTTATTGTCAAGCTTGTGTGTGTCTGTATCGAGGGGGGAGGGAGGGAGAGATGGGGCAGTGAGAGAGAGTAGTGGGGTGGGAGGGAGAACTAGAGGGGGCGGAGGAGGGAGGGAGAGATGGGGGGGTGAAAGAGGGAGAAGCGGAGAGAGGGAGGGAGGGGGGCGGTAGGCATGGCAGTGTGGCTGTTGATGTAGATGGGAACGCTGACGGACACAGAGCAAGACTGTCTTGAGGGGAAAAAATCGAGATGTGGAATTAAACCCATATTTACTGATGTTTGTTTCCCTGTGCCAGCAGATGTGTCTACCCCTGAGAGAAGCAGGAAGCCGGTGGCCAGTCCCCTTTCGAACGGAGTCCCGACTCCCCAAGCAGAGGAGCCCGGGCTGAGCGGGTCCCAGGGCCAGAGGAGGCGACTGTTGAAGGCCCCGACACTCGCCGAGATCGACAGCAGCGATTCTGAGGTGAGGATGAGGCCAAGCCTGCCACCACACACTGTACATCACTGTGTCTCCCTCAACAACAACAACACATCAGATTTGCACACACAGAGCCGCTGACGGCAGGGGCACGTCCTGAGGCGCTGGACAGTCAGGGACTTGGACCTGAGCTGGGGATTGGGATCAGGAGGGGTGGGGGGCGGGGAGGGTGAGGGTAGGAGGTTGACTGAAATAATAATAATAATCCTTGCATTTGATATAGCGCTTTTCACGTCGGGAGGACGTCCCAAAGCGCTTCACAGAATAGACTGTAAAGTGAATTGACTGTATATTTGTGGGCGAACGCGGCAGCCAATTGCGCACAGCAATGTCCCACAAACAGTCGTAGATTGAAAATGACCAATTTATTATTGTTTTTTTTTTGTTTTGGAGGGATTATTATTAGGCTCTGTGTGGAGTAAGGAAACTTGCCCGAGGTTTCGCCCTCTGCCTGGAATTGAACTCAGGTCTCTCACTTGCAAAGCGAGTGCTCTAACCACTGAGCTACAGGACTCCACGAGGTGCGGTCAAAGAGGAGGGTCTTGAGATGGACCTTGAAGGAGGCAAGGGAGGGAGCGAGGGGGAGGGACTGTGGATGGAGTTCCAAAGGGTGGGGGCCTGACCGATGGTGAGGGTGGACGGGCGGGGGAGGTGGAGCAGACTGGAGTTTACTGAGCTGAGGTAGTGGACAGGTTGATATGGAGTTAGCAAGACACAGAGGTAGGGCGGAGCAAGGCCGTAGAGGCCACAGCGAGTGCTCGCCTCGCAAGAGGTACACACGACGACCTTTACACTGTCAAGTGTCAGACACCCGGCTGGTCACGGTGATGGGTTTCCGTGTGTGTCAGACACCCGGCTGGTCACGGTGACGGGTTTCCGTGTGTGTCAGACACCCGGCTGGTCACGGTGACGGGTTTCCGTGTGTGTCAGACACCCGGCTGGTCACGGTGACGGGTTTCCGTGTGTGTCAGACACCCGGCTGGTCACGGTGACGGGTTTCCGTGTGTGTCAGACACCCGGCTGGTCACGGTGACGGGTTTCCGTGGGTGTGAGACACCCGGCTGGTCACGGTGACAGGTTTCCGTGTGTGTCAGGACACCCGGTTGGTCACGTGACGGCGTTTCCGTGTGTGTCACACACCCGGCTGGTCACGGTGACGGGTTTCCGTGTGTGTCACACACCCGGCTGGGCAAAAAAAAGAGAGTTCCTGAGAGCCTTGGTTCAGTTCAATGTGTGTATGTAGTGTGTTCGGTGTGTGCAGTGTGTTGAGAGCTCGCAGTGTGTTGCGTGCGCGCAGTGTGTCGTGTGCGCGCAGTGTGTCGTGTGCGCGCAGTGTGTCGTGTGCGCGCAGTGTGTGTGTGCGCGCAGTGTGTTGTGTGCGCAGTGTGTCGTGTGCGCGCAGTGTGTGTGTGTGCGCAGTGTGTTGTGCGCGCAGTGTGTCGTGTGCGCGCAGTGTGTTGTGTGCGCAGTGTGTGTGTGTGCGCAGTGTGTTGTGTGCATGCAGTGTGTTTGTGCGCAGTGAGTGTGTGTGTGTGCAGTGAGTGTGTGTGTGTGCAGTGAGTGTGTGTGTGTGCCAGCTGTGTGCTGATGAGCTCTCGCTGGTGGAGTCCTGTAGCTCAGTGGTTAGAGCACTCGCTTTGCAAGTGAGAGACCTGAGTTCAATTCCAGGCAGAGGGCGAAACCTTGGGCAAGTTTCCTTACTCCACACAGAGCCTAATAATCCTCCAAAACTAAAAACAATAATTAAATTGGTCATTTTCAATCCACGACTGTTTGTGGGACATTGCTGTGCGCAATTGGCTGCCGCGTTCGCCCACAAATATACAGTCAATTCACTTTACAGTGTGTTCTGTGAAGCGCTTTGGGACGTCCTCCCGACGTGAAAAGCGCTATATCAAATGCAAGGATTATTATTATTATTATTATTATTTGTTGTGTAACAGGAGGAGAGACGGCAGCTTGTACACGGTGGCTCGAGCTCCTCAGCTCCGCAGGTGGATGGCAGTTCCCCGGAGACACCGGCCGGCAAAAAGAGTAAGTGCCGTTCAGTCTGGTGTCGGTGTCGGTGTTTGTGTGTAGGTGTTCGAGGTCAGCACCATCACGGTGTAGCCTGTCGCTGTGACGGTGATGATGGATGGGGCCGGAATATTGAAAGTAACAATGTCTTCAGTCAGTGCTGGTCCAACTGGTGGCCCGCGGGCCACATCCGGCCCACGAAACATTTTCCAGTTTCATTGTCCGACAGGCAACTCTGGGTGACGTGGAGGTCCCTGAGCCAATCAGGGGCTGGTCACCGGGGGCCCGGCCTCCACCCGGCACTGGGACTGAGGATAAAATACTGCTGATGCGGCCGCTCAGACCTCAGGGATGGTGACAGGTTAAGCCAAGCTCGAGTCATCAGCAGGTCCTGTGCCTCGGTTTATGGGGGAGGCATCGGGCAATTGGTCACTGGATAAACACAACACGTTGCCCTTCATCGGGGCAGCATCTCAGAGTGTTTAACAGGAATGGAGCCTGACACCCACCTGGTGGGAGGGAACCAGAAACACCATCAAAGACAAAGGTCTGCAAGTGTGATCTGAAAATAGGGAGGGAGGGCAGGAGGAGGGAAGAGGGGGAGGGAGGGCAGGAGGAATTCAAGATCCTCATCCTCACCTACAAGGCCATTCACGGCCTCGCTCCCTCCTACCTCTCTGACCTACTATCCCCCTACCTACCTGCCCGTACCCTCCGTTCCTCTGGCTCCGGTCTGCTCCACATCCCCCGCCCCAACCGCCCTATCATCGGTGGCCGGGCCTTCAGCCTCTCAGCCCCGAGGCTCTGGAACTCCATCCCCCAGTGCCTTTGCCGCTTCCTCCCTTTCCTCCTTCAAGGCCGGTCTCAAGACCTTTCTCTTTGACCATGCCTTCAGCTCTCCTCTCGACTCTCTACCCCCTCCTCGCTCCCTCCCTCCCTTCCTTCACCCTGACCATTTCCCCCCAATGCTCGGGTCCTGACCCAACTGTCCAGCGCCTTGGGACGTCCTCCCGACGTGAAAGGCGCTCTATAAATGGAATCTTGTTGTTGTTGAGGAGGGAAGAGGGGGAGGGAGGGCAGGAGGAGGGAAGAGGGGGAGGGAGGGCAGGAGCAGGGAAGAGGGGGAGGGAGGGCAGGAAGAGTGAAGAGGGGGAGGGAGGGCAGGAGGAGGGAAGAAGGAGAGGGAGGGGAGGAGGAGAGAAGAGGGGGAGGGAGGGGAGGAGGAAAGAGGGTGAGGGAGGGAGGGAGGAAGGGGAGGAGGCAGAGGGTGGACAGGAGGAGGTGGAGGGAGGGAAGGGAGGAGGTGGGGGGTAATGAGGGGAGGTTGTGGACTGAGGCTGCGTGAACAACACATACATTTACGCTAAATCCCCCCCGGCTCCATTGACTCCCCATCCCCCAGAGGATAGAATTCAAAATCCTCGCCTCGCTGTCAAAACCCTCCACACTCTCACCCCCTCCCAACCTCTGTGAGCTGCTGACCCCATATCAACTTGTCTGCTCCCTCCACTCAGCGGGCTCCGGCCTGCTCTACATCCTCCCCACCATCAGCGATCGGGCCTACAAACTCTTTGCCCCCAGCCCCTGGAACTGCATCCCACGGTCCCTCCACCCCACCCCCTCCCTTACCTCAAGGCAAACCCATCTCAAGACCCTCCTCTTCAACCGCGCCTTTGGTCACCCTCCTACCCCCACCCTCCCTGCCCTCCACCCTCCTGATCCCAACCCCCAGCTCGGGTGCAAATCCCTAACTGTCCCTCCTGACGTGAAAGATGCCGTGTAAATGTCATGTGTTGTTCCCTTGCCAGCCCCTCCAATGTTCCTGCCGATATCATCAACGCCACAACCTGAACGGAGGAAAGCTCCCCAGCGACGGCACTCCATCGAGAAGGAGACGCCAACTAATGTGCGGCAGTTCCTGCCTCCCTCCAGACAGAGCTCCAAGTCTCTGGTGAGTGCCCAGTGCTGAGAGAGAGGGAGAGAGGAGAGAGAGGAGCCACAGGAGTAGATGCACTGAGATACCAGGACACACCGTCAAAAACACTTTTGGGAACTGTTCCAGACAATGTCTTTTCTTTAATAAGTTCAGTAAAACTCGCATAAGTCATATCAGTCGGGACCATAACATTTACTATGATTTACGTGAAGTCCGAGTTACAGGCAAACTGTAGAAGTCATTTCAAATCTGATTTAATCAATAACGTGCCCAGCGCTCGTGTAATTCACTGCAGCCGCTAAGTGCGCATGTGGTGACGGGTCAAGACTACGTTTCCTGTGATTCAAAGCAGCCGGTAAGTGCAGAGTAATGGTGGGACTGGTTAGGAGATGATAATAATAATTCTCTTTGAGACGTCTCACAGCGCTTCACAGAATATACTGTAAAATGTAATGACTGTATTTTGTGGGTGAAACGCGGCAGCCAATTGTGTAGAGCAGCGTCCCACAAACAGCCGTGGATTGAGTGATCAAACATCTTTTTGAGGGATTATTTCCCCTAGAAAATGATCCGCCAATCAACTAACATACATTCCTACTCACTGCTGGTAACCAGAGGAGACGATAAATCCAGTAGTGCAAATAAACCAAAGTGGTTTTGATAGGAAACTGAATGAGACTCGGACAGGAAACTCGGGTGAATGTATAACGTGGGCGATGATACGATTTATAAAGATAAGACTTATGTGAGTTTTACTGTATTTCTGTGTTGTTCAGGTGCCCGGGCTAAGTGGTTTGTTGATGACCTTGCGATCCTGTTTTCCCGGCATGCACACAGCATCCTTGCTCAGGTCCTATTCCCTGGAAGGTGCCCTGCTCAGTGTAATGGGGGCTGTGTATTTTATGTGCAAGAGAGTCTATGGCAGCGGGTGGAAAACCACAAAGGTTTGCAGCTTTGCCTCTCTCAGCGGCCTCTGATATTGCTCCTTATTCACTGTGGGGGTGAGTGGTGTTGGGATGGACAGCCTCTCTCTCTCTGCTTCTGCTTCCACCGGGAAGTGATCCCAAGCTGCCTGTCTGTGCGGGAGCATGTGATATCTATCTGATTGACACCGATTTATGTCACCTGCCAATCAATCACCTTGTGCCAATCAATCACCTTGTGCCAATCAATCACCTTGTGCCAATCAATCACCTTGTGCCAATCAATCACCTTGTGCCAATCAATCACCTTGTGCCAATCAATCACCTTGTGCCAATCAATCACCTTGTGCCAATCAATCACTTTGTTCCAATCGCTGTTGCTTTTGCCAATCTTGGGGTGTTGTGCACCAGAGGTTAATATATAATAATCCTTGCATTTGATACAGCGCTTTATCACGTTGTTGAGACGTCTCAAGGGCTTCACAAGATACACTGTAAAAAGTGTAGTGACTGTGTATTTTGTGGGCCAAACATGGCAGCCAATAATACACAACAGTGTCCCCAAACAGTCGTGCATTGAGTGACCAATTTTTTTTGAGGGATTATTACCCCCAGAAAAGTGATCTGCCAATTGACTAACAACCAGGTCCCAACTTACTGCTGGTAAATAGAGGCCATAAGACCATAAGACGTAGGAGCAGGAGCAGGCCATTCAGCCCCTCAAGCCTGCCCCGCCATTTAATAAGATCATGGCTGATCTTCCAACCTAATTCCATTTACCCACTCTGTCCCCATATCCCTTAATCCCTCTATCCTTTAGAAATCTATCAACCTCAGTCTTGAATATGTCAAGGACTGAGCATCAACAGCCTTCTGGGGTAGAGAATTCCACAAATTCACTACCTTCTGAGTGAAGAAATGTTTCCTCAACTCAGTTCGAAAAGGCTGACCCTTAATCTTGAGACTATGACCACTAGTTTCAGAAATCTAGGCATGTGGAGTAAGGAAACTTGCCCAATGTTTGACCCTGCCCGGGAATCGAACCCAGATCCTCTCACTTGTGAGGCGAGGGCTTTAACCACTGAGCGACAGGACTCCACCTTATCAATGACCTCTTGGGCCAATCAATTGCTGTTACTGTTCCCAATTTGGGGGAGTTGGACTTTGGAGATTCAGAAGCATTGTTAACAGAGTCAACTCATATCCCTCTCAGTCACTTATTTATTATGGGAGGGGGGGACAAGGACATGAGTTGTAATAACTGTAGAGCACGCTGAGCTGCTGCCCCAGCTGCATGAGGGGGGCTGTATATAAACACAGGTGGTTGTTATGGAAATGATTGCCTATGATCTAAACCTGTAGAAAATTTCCTCTGTAATCTCTGTGATGTTTTTGCGCCGTGGGGTGAGTTATTATTAATAATAATCCTTACATTTGATGTAGCGCCTTTCACTTCAGGAGGACGCCTCAAAGCAATGCATGGCAAACACTGCAAAGTGTAGTGACTGTGTGTTTGGTAGGCGAATGCGCAACTAATTTGCGCAGTGTGATGCCTCACAAACAGCCATGATGTGAGTGGCCGATTGTGTCTGGGGGTTTGTTGTCCAGGACACCGGGAGAGAGAGAGAAACTCCCTTCTCTTTACCAATAGCCCCGCGGGATCTTTACCATCCACCTGAACAGGCAGACGGGACCTCGGTTTACCGTCTCCTCCCAAGGACGGCACCTCCCACAGTGCCACCCCCCCCCAGCGCTGCATTGCACATCACACCAGATATTGTCAATTCACATAATGAGCTCGAAACCAATACCTAACTCAGAGGCGTGAACGCTAGTAACTGAGCCAGCCCGACACCTGCCTAACTTCATAACTAATGTCACTAAGTACATAGATATTTATCATAATAATAATCCTCGCATTTGAGATAGCGCCTAATCACGTCTTTGTTGAAACGTTTCAAAGCGCTTCACGAATATATTAACTGTATATTTTGTCGGCAAAACGTGGCAGCGTTCCACAAACAGCCGTGGATTGAGTGACCCAATGTTTTTTGGTGGAGGGATTATTACCCCTGGAAAGTGATCCGCCAATCGACTAACAACCAGGTTCCTACTTACTGCTAGGTAAACAGAGGCGTGTGGAGTAAGGAAACTTGCCTAAGGTTTCATCCTGCCCGGGAATCGAACCTGGGTCCTCTCACTTGGGAGGCGAGAGCTCTAACCACTACACTACGGGACTCCACACAGGTAGTAAACAAGTCACCTGGGCAGAGGACCAGGGTGTGGGTTTAAGGTTGGAGTAATGGAATGTTGGGAGCGGAGAATAAAGGATTTACTTAATATATCGTTGTTGTGGGTTGAGAATCGTGAGTTACCGGTGAGCGCTGTGGGACTCCTCCCGACGTAGTCGCATTGACACAGAGAGAACAAACACGGGTTTAATCATAATAATTTAAGAATGGGTCTGTCATTGTCAAGACATCAAATAATAATAATAATCCATGCATTTGACATGGCGCCTTATCCTGTCATCGCGATGTCTCAAAGCGCTTCACAGGATACACTGTAAAGAGGAGTGACTCTGCCTTTTTGTGGGTGAAACGCAGCAGCCAATTGTGCACAGCAGCGTCCCCACAAACAGCCGTGGGTTGAGGGACCACATTTATCTCCGGTGTCAGTTATGCCAGACGCAGGATGTTTGAGGGATTCTGGGAACGGGGTTGGAAATATGCTCTGGGAATATCCATTAAGCAGGAGTGAGATTCCAGTTAATTCCAGCGCAGGGTCCTGTTACTCTGCATTTGGCTGTACACAAGGCTCAATGGCAGAGTTTGATGTGTGGAGAAGGAGAGCTCAGGTGTGCGCTGATCACTGTAAACAACCATCCTCTCTCGCAGCGTCGCTCTATAAATACAAGTTGTTTTCTTCTTGATCTCTGAGACCCTTCGCTACCCCAGAAACACACAAATTATAATAATAATATAATAATAATCCTTGCCTTATCACGTCATTGAGACATCCACAAGCGCTTCACAGTATATACTGTAAAGTGCAGTGACTGTGTATTTTGTGGCTATTATTACCCCCGGAAAGCAATCTGCCAATCAACTAACAACCAGGTTCCTACTGACTGCTGGTAAACAGAGGCGTGTGGAGTAAGGAAACTTGCCTCAGGTTTCCCCCTGCCCGGGAATCAAACCCGGGTCCTCTCTCTCCGGAGGCGAGCGCTCTAACCCCTGAGCTGCAGTAAGTGCAGCTTCACCTTTTCTACCCAGCCCTGGGACCTGTGATTTGATGTGATTTATTTTACCAGCAAACTTTAACTGAGATCAGGAATGAAATACAACAACAACTTGCATTTACACAGCGCCCTCCATGGTAGCATCCCGGAGCCCGGGGGAGAGGGAGGGAGGAGGGGGGAGCGAGGGAGGGAGGGGGGAGCTGGCAGTCGGGCGGTTTAAGCTGCAGAGTAACCGAGTGCTTGTGTTGCAGGAGGAGTTTTGTTACCCAGTGGAGTGTTTGGCCCTGACGGTGGAGGAGGTCATGCACATCCGACAGGTCCTGGTCAAGGCAGAGCTGGAGAAGTACCAGCAATATAAGGAGATCTACAACGCCTTGAAGAAGGGGAAGGTTGGTTTAAAACTGGTTTAGAGCCTGCGCCTCGCAAGCCAGAGGACCTGGGTTTGATTCTCGGGCAGGTCAGGGCGAAACCTTGGGCAAGTTTCCTTACTCCACACACACACACACACACACAGGACACACAGGACACACAGACACACACACACAGGACACACAGACACACACTCACACACTCCTCTATTTACCAGGTGTCAGTACGTCGTTAGTCAATTGGTAGATCCTGGGATAATAATCCCTTCAAAATAATAATAATAAATTGGTCATTTTCAACCCATGGCTGTTCTGGACGAGAGACAACTTTCTTCAGCTCAACGTGCGCAAAACTGAGGCCCTCCTGATTGGCTCACGTCAGCGCCTCCGCACCTCAGGCGCTGACAGCATCAGCTCCGCACTCTCCACCTCTCAAAGCCATCAGGAACCTCGGGGTTCCCCTCGATCCTGAGCTGTCCTTTCTCCCTCATATCCGTACCACAACTGGCACCGCCTTCCATCACCTCCGGAACATCGCCAGACTACGGCACTACCTCACCCCTCACGCGGCTGAAACTCTGGTCCACACCTTTATCACCTCAAGGCCGGAATATGGGAACTCTCTCCTCGTCGGCCTTCCCGGCCCTCCCTCCACACTGCAGGTCATTCAGAACTCTGCAGCTCATGTACTGTCCCGCACCAGACACCGCGACCACATCACTCCCACCCTCACCCTCACCCTCACCCTCACCCTCGCCCTCACCCTCGCCCTCGCTCGCCTCCACTGGCTCCCCATCCCCCAGAGGATCGAATTCAAGATCCTCATCCTCACCTACAAGGCCATTCACGGCCTCACTCCCTCCTACCTCTCCGACCTACTATCCCCCACTCACCTGCCCGTACCCTCCGTTCCTCTGGCTCCGGTCTGCTCCACATCCCCCGCCCCAACCGCCCGACCATCGGTGGCCTTCAGCCTCTCAGCCCCGAGGCTCTGGAACTCCATCTCCAGTGCCTTCGCCGCTTCCTCCGTTTCCTCCTTCAAGGCCGGTCTCAAGACCTTTCTCTTTGACCTTCAGCCTTCAGCTCCACTCTCAACTCTCTACCCCTCCTCGCCCCTCCCTTCCCTCCCCTCACCCTGACCATCTCCCCCCTCCTCGCTCCCTCCCTCCCCTCCCCTCACCATTTTCCCCCCAATCCTCGGGTCCTGATCCAACTGTCCAGCGCCTTGGGACGTCCTCCCGACGTGAAAGGAATGGAATCTTGTTGTTGTTGTTGTTTGTGGGACACTGCTGTGCGCAATTGGCTGCTGCGTTTCACCGACAATTATACAGTCAATTCACTTTACAGTATATGCTGTGAAGCGCTTTGAGACATCTCGAAGATGTGATAAGGCGCTGTAACAAATGCCAGGATTATTATTATTAAAACACAAAGAAAATGAAGGGCATTGAACCCACACAGGGATTGGGTAGAGGAAGGAAAACAACCACTTGTCAGTAGAGAGGAATCGGGGTGGGGGGGGTTCTACCGAGCCACTGGCTACAGACTGGCCTTGTGACTTCATAATGGGTCTGTCAGTGTGAAGACATCAGTTAATAGTAATAATAATAATCTTTGCATTTGATACAGCACCTTATCATTATTATTATTACCACCTTGTCCAGATGTTCCAAAGTACTTTAAATATTCTACTCTTTTATGATTTCTTTTTTGGGGCTTTGTTTTGTTTAACGCAATTATAATAATAATAATAATCCTTGCATTTGATATAGCGCTTTTCACGTCGGGAGGACGTCCCAAAGCGCTTCACAGAACACACTGTAAAGTGAATTGACTGTATATTTGTGGGCGAACGCGGCGGCCAATTGCGCACAGCAATGTCCCACAAACAGTCGTAGATTGAAAATGACCAATTTATTATTGTTTTTGGGTTTTGGAGGATTATTATTAGGCTCTGTGTGGAGTAAGGAAACTTGCCCAAGGTTTCGCCCTCTGCCTGGAATTGAACTCAGGTCTCTCACTTGCAAAGCGAGTGCTCTAACCACTGAGCTACAGGACTCCACACACGGACACACACACAGACCATTATAGTCCGTGTGTGTGTCTGCGTTGTGTGTGTCTGTGTTGTGTGTCTGTGTTGTGTGTGTATGTGTGTGTGTGTGTCTGTGTTGTGTGTGTGTGTGTGTGTCTGTGTTGTGTGTGTGTGTCTGTGTTGTGTATGTCTGTGTTGTGTGTGTGTGTGTGTGTGTGTCTGTGTTGTGTGTGTGTGTGTGTGTCTGTGTTGTGTGTGTGTGTCTGTGTTGTGTGTGTGTGTCTGTGTTGTGTGTGTGTGTGTGTGTGTGTGTCTGTGTTGTGTGTGTCTGTGTTGTGTGTGTGTGTGTCTGTGTTGTGTGTGTGTGTATCTGTGTTGTGTGTGTGTATCTGTGTTGTGTGTGTCTGTGTTGTGTTGGTGTCTGTGTTGTGTGTGTGTGTGTTGTGTGTGTGTGTCTGTGTTGTGTGTGTGTGTGTCCATGTTGTGTGTGTGTGTGTGTCTGTGTTGTGTGTGTCTGTGTTGTGTGTGTCTGTGTTGTGTTGTGTGTCTGTGTGTATTGTGTGTGTCTGTGTTGTGTGTGTCTGTGTTGTGTGTTTTGTGTGTGTCTGTGTTGTGTGTGTGTATATCTGTGTTGTGTGTGTGTGTCTGTGTTGTGTGTGTGGCTGTGTTTTGTGTGTGTCTGTTGTGTGTGTGTGTGTCTGTGTTGGGTGTGTGTGTGTCTATTGTGTGTGTATGTGGCTGTGTTGTGTCTGTGTAGCTGTGTTGTGTGTTGTGTGTATCTGTGTTGTGTGTGTTTGTGTGTGGCTGTGTGGCGTGTGTGTTGTGTGTGTGTTGTGTCTGTGTTGTGTGTGTGTCTGTGTTGTGTGTGTGTGTGTTGTGTGTGTGTGTGTCTTGTGTTGGGTGTGTGTCTGTGATGTCTGTGTTGTGTCTGTGTTGTCTGTGTTGTATGTGTGTGTCTGTGTTGTGTGTGTGTTGTGTCTGTGTTGTATGTGTGATGTCTGTGTTGTGTGTGTGTGTTGTGTCTGTGTTGTATGTGTGTGTCTGTGTTGTGTGTGTGTGTGTTGTGTCTGTGTTGTATGTGTGTGTCTGTGTTGTATGTATGTGTCTGTGTTGTGTGTGTGTGTTGTGTCTGTGTTGTGTGTGTGTGTCTGTGTTGTGTGTGTGTGTGTGTGTCTGTGTTGTGTGTGTGTGTCTGTGTTGTGTGTGTGTGTGTCTGTGTTGTGTGTGTGTGTGTTTGTGTTGTGTGTGTTGTGTGTGTGTATCAGTGTCATATATTGCTGTTTATTTGCTTCCTTGAAAAGATAATCAAATGCGATCCATGGCTGTGCCCCCTCCTCCCTCTGACCCCCTGACTCCCTACCAACCCGCCCCCTCCCTCCGCTCATCGGGCTCCGGCTGCTCCATGTCTCCCACCCGACCCCCCCACCATCGGTGGCCTCTCTGCCCCCACACTCTGGAACTCCATCCCACGGTCCCTTGGCCTCGCTTCCTCCCTCACCTCCTTCAAGGCCGGTCTCAAGACCCTTCTCTCCGACGGTGCCTTTGGTCTCCCTCCCACCCCTCTGCCTTCCCCCACCTCTCCCCCACCCCTTCCCCCTACCCCACCCTTCCCCCCACGCTCGGGCCCCGACACCTGACTGTTCAGCGCTTTGGGACGTCCTCCTGATGTGAAAGGCGCTCTATAAATGTCATTTTGTTGTTGTTATTTGTAACAAATCAATAGTTTTCATGATTTTGCTTAATGCTTTGAGCAGTTACGATGTTGATTTAAATCTCACTTTTCTCCCATTCTCTCTCTCGCTCTCTCTCTCCGTCTCCTATTCTTTCTGCAGTTGTGTTTCTGTTGCCGGACAAAGAGATTTTCTATCTTTACCTGGTCGTACACTTGCCAGTTCTGTAAAAGGTATGTATCAGTTACAGCTCTCGCCTCGCAAGCCAGAGGTCCCGGGTTCGATTCCTGGCAGAGCGAATCCTTAGGTATGTTTCCTTACTCCACACACACACGTCTGTTTACCAGCAATGAGTAGGAACCCGGTTGCAATTCACTTTCCGGGGATAATAATCCCTTCCAAAATAATAATAATAATGTGATCCCTCAATCCCTGACTGGGTGTGGGACGCTGCTGCGCGCAATCGGCTGCCGCGTTTCACCCACAAATTATAGTTATTCACTTTAGTGTATCCTGTGAAGGACTTTGAGACGTCTCAATGACGTGATGAGGCGCTAAATCAAATTAATATTTTTATTATATTTTGTGTTTCCGTTGCACCGCTCGTGTGCTGTTCCCTTTGTAAAGAGAGCAGTGAACGACTGGAACAGGTTCCCAGGACAGGAGGTTGAGGCCAGGACACTGGACTCAATTAAGAACACCAGCTACTGTGCTGGGAGGGAAGGTTGGGAGAGATGAGATTAAATGCGCCATAGCTTCTTTATCCAAACCCTTGACATCCCTTCACACCCTGGCACCTCCCGTCTCCCCAACCCGCTCCCTCCCTACACCAGCACCCCCTGCCTCTGCTCGACTGGCTCCAGCCTCCTCCTCATCTCTCGGCCCCTCGGCCCCGCCTCGGCAGCCGTGCTGTCAGCCGCTACTCCCCCAAGATGTGGAACTCTCTCCCTCGAGCCCCCGCTTCATTTTCAGGTCATGCTTGAAGACCCTCCTGTTTGACCCAGTCTATGGTCACCCCCCCCCCCACCCCCCTCCCCGGCTCAATATCGAGCTCCACCGCTGTCAAGCGCTCTGGGCCGGCACGAGGGGCGCCGTGTACACACAACCCCAGACTAAACAGCACAGAGAGGCCATTCAGCTCATCGTGTCTGTGCCAAATCCTGATCAACCCCACTCTCTCCCCATAGCCCTGATCAACCCCACTCCCCCGCTCTCTCCCCATTGCCCTGATCAACCCCACTCCCCCGCTCTCTCCCCATAGCCCTGATCATCCCCACTCCCCCGCTCTCTCCCCATAGCCCTGATCATCCCCACTCCCCCGCTCTCTCCCCATAGCCCTGATCAACCCCACTCCCCGCTCTCTCCACAGCCCTGATCAACCCCACTCCCCCGCTCTCCCCCCATAGCCCTCATCAACCCCACTCCCCCGCTCTCTCCACCAGCCTTTCAGGCAATGATTCAAGATCCCAACAACTCTCTGTGTGAAAACATTTCTCCTCCCCTCCCCTATCAAATCCCCTCATCATTTTGAAACCTTCTATTAAGTCTCCTCTTAACCTTCTCTGCTCCGAGGAGAATAATCCGAGCTTCTCTACCTCTCCTGATAACTGAGGTCCCTCATTCCTGGTACCATTCTGGTCAATCTCCTTTGCACCCTCTCCAATGCCTTGACATCCTTCCTACAGTGTGGGGCCCAGAACTGAACCCAGTCTCTCGCTGAGGCCCCACCAGTGTTTTATATAAAGGTTCATCATAACTTCCTGACTTGTGTATTCTATGCCCTATTTATAAAGCCGAGTATCCCGGATGCTCTTTAACAGCTGTATCTGCCTGTCCGGCCACCTTCAAGGGTTTACTTATATGAACCCCCAGGAAGGTGGCTATATCAATGCAAATTGTTGTTGTTGTTGTGGTTATAGTTGTTGCTGTGGTTGTTGCTGTTATAGTTGTTGTTGCTGTTATAGTTGTTGTTGCTGTTATAGTTGTGGTTGTTATTGTTGTTGCTGTTATGGTTGTTGTTGCTTTTGCTGTTTTTGTTGTTGCTGCTGTTGTTGCTATTATTGTTGTTGCAATTATTGTTGTTGTTGCTGTTATTGCTGCTGCTGTTGTTGCTGCTGTTGTTGTTGTTGCTGTTGTAGTTGATGTTGCCATTGTTGTTGCTATTATTGTTGTTGTTGTTGCTATTATTGTTGTTGTTGCTGTTGTTGTTGCTGTTATTGTTGCTGTTATTGTTGTTGTTGCTGTTGTTGTTGCTGCTGTTGTTGTTGCTGTTGTTTCTGTTATTGTTGTTGCTGTTGTTGTTGATGGTGTTATCATTGTTGTTGCTGTGGTTGTTGCTGTTATAGTTGTTGTTGCTTTTGCTGTTTTTGTTGTTGCTATTATTGTTGTTGCTGTTGTTGCTGCTGCTGTTGTTGTTGTTGTTGTTGTTGCTATTACTGTTGTTGCTGTTGTTGCTGTTATTGTTATTGCTGTTGTTGCTGTTATTGTTGCTGCTGTTGTTGCTGTTGTAGTTGATGTTGGCATTGTTGCTGCTGTTGCTGTTGTTTCTGTTATTGTTGTTGCTGTTGTTGCTATTGTTGTTGTTGCTGTTGTTGTTGTTGCTGTTGTTATCGTTGTTGCTGCTGTTGTTGTTGTTGTTGTTGCTTTTGCTGCTGTTGTTGTTGATGCTATTGTCGTCGTTGCTGTTGTTGTTATTGTTGTTATGAAAACATTGACATCCTCACTGAAACCTGCATCACTCCGGGCGACACCTTCTCCCTGACTGAGGCCACACCACCCGCCTACACCTTCCATCACACCTCTCGGCCTAACCACCGTGGTGGTGGGGTGACTCATCTCCCGGTCCCCGCTTGGCCCATCCCCGTACTCCTCTGGAACCTTCCCTTTCTTTGAGCACCGTACCCCCTATCACCCTCCAACCTTTCCTCAAAATTCTCCTGATGGACAGCCCCCCCCAAGCCCTCCTTCACCTTCATCCCTGACATCTCCAATCTCCTATCTTCCCTCTCCCTTTGCTCTGAACGCCTCTTCATCCTCGGCGATTTCAATTTGCACTTCACCCCCTCCTGCTCTACCTCTGCTGACTTTTCCTCCCTTATCGCCTCCCTCAATCTCTCCCTCCACATCCACTCCACCATCCATGTCCCCGGCACCCCCTCTACCTGGCTCTCACTCAGGGCCTCACAGTCTCAGATCTCACCATCATCGACAAAGCGATCTCAGACCATCACTTCATTTCCCTTAACTCCTCAATCCCTCTCCCCACCGCCACCCAACCCACCTCCATCTCATACCACCCCTGGAAAAAAATCATCCCCCCTCCCTCAGCTGCCTTGGAGTCATCTGAACTCCTTCCCCTCTGGGCTTCCTCCCACAATGACCTATCCTCCTCGGTCACTCTTCTCTACAACTCCCTCTCCACCACTCTCGATTCCCTCGCTCCTCTCTTCCCGAACCGTATCCTACTCACGCAAATCACCTTGGTACACCAGCCACCTCCACTTCCTTAAAGCCCAGGTGTGTGCCACTGAGCGGACCGGGCTTAAATCAACCCTGACTGCCCACCGGCAGATTTGGCTGGACCATGTCAAATCCTACCCTCCGCCCTCGCCTCCACTAAATCGTCGTTCTACTCCAAGACAATCTTGGAGGCCAAGGACAACCCCAGGCTCCTCTCCATCACCAACCGACTCCTCCATCCACCTTCTCACGCCTCACCCATCCTCACCTCAAATGCCAACCGTGAGGCGACACTGGACTTCCTCGAATCCAAAGTCGAGGGAATCCACTCAGCTGCCTCTGCCACTGCATCTGGTACCCCCTCTGTCTATCTGCGACCAGGGCTCCCTCTGTCTCCTCATCCTCCTTGAGCTCTCTGCTGCCTTCCACACCGTCGACCACTCTATCCTCATCCACCACCTATGCTCTCACCTCAACCTTCATGGCACTTCCCTTGATTGGTTCAGATCGTACCTCTCACACCGTCTCCACTTCATCTCCTCAAACAGCTTCTCCTCTTGTCCCCCTATTGTCTCGTGCGGTGTTCCTCAGGGCTCTGTCCTTGGTACCCTCTCCTTCAACACCTATATAGGGTCAACTTGTTGTTATTGTTGTTGATGTTGTTGTTGTTATTGTTCTTGCTGTTGTTGCTGCTGTTGTTGTTGTTGTTCCCGCGTGCGCACTATGGCTGCCGCTCTGACCCAAGCCTCCTCACCCCCTCCCCCTTCCTCTCTCCCCCCAAACCCTCCCCCCTCTGCATCTCTCCCACTCTGTCCTCCTCTCTCTCCGTCCCTCTTGCCTTTATATCCCCACTTGACCCTCCCATAACCTCCCTCGGTTCCAGCCTGGGAATCCTCCGCCAGCCGGGCTCACCGTGGCACTCGGCCTCTGAACTCCTCTCCCTCTGGCCTTCAACCCTCACTGACCCCTCTTCTCCTCTCACCCTCCTCCACAACACCCTCTCCTCCACACTTGACACTCTTGCCCCCGTCACCTCCTGTACTGTCTCCTACTCTCGCTCCTCCCCCTGGTTCACCACCCACCTCCGCTCACTGAAGAGCCCGGTGCGGGCCGATGAACGCACCTGCGTCAAATCTGGCCTAACGGTCCACCGACAAATCTGGATGGACCTCCTCAAAATCTACCGCTCCACTCTAGCCTCGGCCAAGTTGTCCTTCTACTCCAGGACAATCCTGGAGGTGAAGAACAACCCCAGGCTTCTGTTTTCTACCACATCCCGACTCCTCCGTCCCCCCCGCCACCCCGCGCAGGTCATCTCCTCCAACCTTCACTGCAAGGAGATGCTGGATTTCCTTGAATCCCAAATCAAGGGAATCCGCTCCACGGTCACTTCCCCTCCAACCTCCACCCACCACCCACTCCCTCCCTCCCACACTCCGACTCCTACCCATCCTACCCATTGTTGCTGTTGTTGTTCCTGTTGTTATTGTTGTTGTTGTTGTTGTTGCTGCTGTTGTTGCTGCTGTTGTTGTTGCTGCTGTTGTTGTTGCTGCTGTTGTTGTTGTTGCTGCTGTTGTTGTTGCTGCTGCTGCTGTTGTTGTTGCTGCTGTTGTTGTTGCTGCTGTTGTTGTTGTTGCTGTTGTTGTTGCTGTTGCTGCTGCTGTTGCTGTCGCTGTTGTTGTTACTGTCACTGTTGTTGTTGCTGTCGCTGTTGTTGCTGTCGCTGTTGTTGTTGTTGTCGCTGTTGTTGTTGTTGTTGTTGTCCCTTAACGGAAACCTGGCTCACCCCAGGCGACACTTTTGAATTCAAGATCCTCATCCTCACCTACACGGCCATTCCCGGCCTCACTCCCTCCTCCCTCTCCGACCTACTATCCCCCACTCACCTGCCCGTACCCTCCGTCCCTCTGGCTCCGGTCTGCTCCACATCCCCCGCCCCAATCGCCCTAACATCGGTGGCCTTCAGCCTCTCAGCCCCGAGGCTCTGGAACTCTATCCCTCAGTGCCTTCGCCGCTTCCTCCCTTTCCTCCTTCAAGGCCGGTCTCAAGACCTTTCTCTTTGACCTTCAGCCTTCAGCTCCCTCTCGACTCTCTACCCCCTCCTCGCTCCCTCCCTTCCCTCCCCTCACCCTGACCATTCCCCCCCTCCTCGCTCCCTCCCTTCCTCCCTCACCCTGACCATTACCCCCTCCTCGCCCCTCCCTTCCCTCCCCTCACCCTGACCATTTCCCCCCAAGGCTCGGGTCCTGACCCAACTGTACAGCGCTTTGGGACGTCCTCCCGACGTGAAAGGCGCTTTATAAATGGAATCTTGTTGTTGCTGTCGCTGTTGTTGTTGCTGTTGCTGTTGTTGCTGTCGCTGTTGTTGTTGTTGCTGTTGTTGCTGTCGCTGTTGTTGTTTTTGCTGTTGTTGTTGTTCCTACCGCAGTATCTGCCGCACTGTTCATTTCTAATAAGGATATGTGGGAGAGAGAATGTTGCAGTGCTTTAGTCAACAACTTGCATTTAAACAGCATCATTTCCAGGCCTTAAAAGGACTGTGTGTGGGGCTGTGTGTGGGGCTGTGTGTGGGGCTGTGTGTGGGGCTGTGTGTGGGGCTGTGTGTGGGGCTGTGTGTGGGGCTGTGTGTGGGACTGTGTGTGGGGCTGTGTGTGGGACTGTGTGTGGGGCTGTGTGTGGGACGCTGCTGTGTGCAATTGGTTGTCGCGTTTCGCCCAAAAAATATACAGTCACTGCACTTTACGGTATGTCGTGTGAAGCGCTTTGGGACGTCCCGATGCGGGACCACACGCCAGGATTATTATTATTATTATTGTTCAGCTACTACATCAACGTGAGTATTGACATTCTGTCAGTACCTGTGGAGGACCTCCCGATGTGATGTCAATGTACAGTTTGTTGTTGTTGTCGGCAAACGCTAAAGTGATTGTGATCTTTTTAAAAAGAATCTTTCCCTCAAAATATGTGTGACATTGTTTTTTTTCTCCGCAGACCCGTGTGCTCACAGTGCTGTAAGAAGGTACGTCCAAACCGCCGCTGTTCACACTGTGTTTCTAACGAAAACCAAAAAACAAATACATTGAAACTCAAATAAGTCGTATCAGTCGGGACCACAACTTATCATATGGCGTATGTGAGTCGCAGGAAAACTGTAAATCGTAGAAAATCCACTTTGATCAATAATCTGCACTGCACACGGAGCCGTGTATCAGAGCACCGGTCAGTGCGGAGCAACGCAGCGCCGGAGCCGCGTCACCACTGAGGAGGTCATCAACTCCACTCGTGTGGCACTTCTCAATGGGTTTGAGAGGAAAGTGAATGGGACTCCGGGTGGATGTCCGACTGCGGACTGAGCCCCAACAACCCCACCCCCCCCTCTCCCCATAGCCCTCATCAACCCCACTCCCCTCTCTCTCCCATAGCCCTCATCAACCCCACTCCCCCGCTCTCTCCCCATAGCCCTCATCAACCCCACTAACCCCTCTCTCCCCATAGCCCTCATCAACCCCACTAACCCCTTTCTCCCCATAGCCCTCATCAACCCCACTCCCCCTCTCTCTCTCCCCATAGCCCTCATCAACCCCACTACCCCCTCTCTCCCCATAGCCCTCATCAACACCACTCCCCCGCTCTCTCCCCATAGCCCTGACCAACCCCACTCCCCCGCTCTCTCCCCATAGCCCTGATCAACCCCACTCCCCCGCTCTCTCCCCATTGCCCCGATCAACCCCACTCCCCCGCTCCCTCTCCATAGCCCTGATCAACCCCACTCCCCCGCTCTCTCCCATAGTCCTCATCAACCCCACTCCACCCTCCCCCCGTAGCCCTCATCAACCCCACTCCCCCTTCTTCCCATAGCCCTGATCAACCCCACTCCCCCCTCTCTCCCCATAGCCCTTGTCAACCCTACTCCCCCGCTCTCTCCCATAGCCCTCATCAACCCCACTACCCCCTCTCTCCCCATAGCCCTCATCAACACCACTCCCCCCTCTCTCCCCATAGCCCTGATCAACCCCACACCGCCGCGCTCTTCCCATAGCCCTGATCAACCCCACTCCCCCGCGCTCTTCCCATAGCCCTGATCAACCCCACTCCCCCCTCTCTCCCCATAGCCCTGATCATCCCCACTCCCCCACTCTCTCCCCATAACCCTACAATCTTGTCCTCCCCAAATAATTATCTGCTTCTCTCTTAAAAGTTGTTATTAAATCAGCTTCCACCCGCCTTTCAGGCAATGTATTCGAAAACTTAAGATCATAAAAACATAAGAAATAGAAGCAGGAGTACGCCATTCGGCCCCTGAAGCCCCTGAAGCCTGTGCCCCGCCACTTAATAAGATCATAAGATCTAATCTAATTCCATTTACCCCATATCCCCATACCCATTAATCCCTTTAGTTTTTAAAAATCTATCGATCTGAGTCTTGAGTATGTTCAATGACTGACTGAGCATCCACAGCCTTCATGTTTTATTGTATAAAGATATGACTGATGTGAGTGTTACTGTGGTGTAAAGGATTGTTTGCTCTGTTTGGTGGACAGATGCGATTACCTTCCAAACCGTACAGCAATCTGCCCATCTTCTCATTGGGACCATCGACGTTGGGGAAGGAAGGGAAAGCCATCAGACCAGAGAAAGCCTCCAGCAGCCGCCGTCGTCATGACAACCAACACAAAACTCTAGCCAGGTACCAAACAATAAACCTCGTCACTACAACAACTGTTTGGCAGCTTTCCCGCTGCTCGTCCAGCGAGGACCCCCCTCCCCGTTAGTTAGGGCTTTGGCTGTGGGGTTACCAGGAGCTGAGGGGGAGGATTCCCGGCCCCCAGTGACTGGTCGGCCCTTCCAGGTCCTGCTGATGAGCCGGGCCGGGCTGTGCTGCCATCAGCAGTGGGAGACCTGGGACACTGCGGCCCCTCCTGGTCAGGACCTGGACTGGAGACCGGCACAGAGGAGAGGGTTTAGGAGAGGGTGAGAGCCCCTCTATCTGATCCCCACTCAACCTTCTCTGCTCCAGTGGAAACAGACTCAATTCTCCAATTTCTCCTAATAACCAGGTAAGGATCGCTTCCAAAACGATGAAGAAAAAAAATGCTAATAATCATGTGGTCACTCAGTGATTGGTGGATCGCTTTCTGGGGGAAATAATCCCTCAAAAGGTCATTCAATCTACGACTGTGTGCAGGACGCTGTGTGCGGGACGCTGTGCAGGACGCTGTGTGCAGGACGCTGTGTGCGGGACACTGTGCAGGACGCTGTGTGCGGGGGACGCTGTGTGCGACACTGTGTGCAGGTCACTGTGTGCGACACTGTGCAGGACGCTGTGCAGGACACTGTGCGGGACGCTGTGCGGGGGACGCTGTGTGCGACACTGTGTGCAGGACACTGTGTGCGGGATGCTGTGTGCGGGACACTGCAGGACGCTTTGTGCAGGACACTATGTGCAGGACACTGTGCAATACGCTGTGTGCGGGACGCTGTGCGGGGGACGCTGTGTGCGACACTGTGTGCGACACTGTGTGCGGGACACTGTGCGCGGGACACTGTGCGCGGGGCACTGTGTGCAGGACACTGTGTGCGACACTGTGTGCAGGACACTGTGTGCGACACTGTGTGCGACACTGTGTGCAGGACACTGTGTGCGACACTGTGTGCGACACTGTGTGCGACACTGTGTCCGGGACACTGTGCGCGGGACACTGTGCGCGGGACACTGTGTGCGGGACACTGTGTGCGACACTGTGTGCGACACTGTGTGCGACACTGTGTGCAGGACACTGTGTGCGGGACACTGTGTGCGACACTGTGTGCAGGACACTGTGTGCGACACTGTGTGCGACACTGTGCGCGGGACACTGTGTGCGACACTGTGTGCGGGACACTGTGCGCGGGACACTGTGCGCGGGGCACTGTGTGCAGGACACTGTGTGCGGGACACTGTGTGCGACACTGTGTGCAGGACACTGTGTGCGACACTGTGCGCGGGACACTGTGCGCGGGACACTGTGTGCGACACTGTGTGCGACACTGTGCGCGGGACGCTGTGTGCGACACTGTGCGCGGGACGCTGTGTGCGACACTGTGCGCGGGACGCTGTGTGCGCAGTGGGTGCAGCGTTGCTCCCACAAAATGTACAGTCAATTATGATGATGATGTTACAATTTTTGGTCAAACATGAGGGTAACAGGACTTTGTGAACAGCCGATAGGTGGAATTTCAGGCCCCAAGTGAGTGGTCAACATGCAATCTCCAGCCTTACAATAATAATAATAATAATAATAATAATAATAATAATCCTGGCATTTGTTACAGCGCCTTATCAGGCCTTTAGACGTCTCAAAGCGCTTCACAGAATACACTGTAAAGTGAATTGACCGTATATTTGTGGGCGAAATGCGGAGCCGATTGCGCACAGCAGTGAGTGTCCCACACACAGCGGTGGGTTGAGGGACCAGATTATTATTGTTTTTTTTCTAGGGATTATTATCAAGCGAGTGGAGTAAGGAAACTTGCCCAAGGTTTCGCCCTGACCTGCCGGGAATCGAACCCAGGTCTCTCGCTCGCAAAGCGAGTGTTCTAACCTCTTATATTATAGTATTGTGTCCGTGTCTCTAACCCGCCATTTCCTGATCTGATTTACAGACAATCTTCAGTCCCTAAACCTGTGGAGAAGGCCAGTGGCGACTCCCTGGAGTTTCCCAAAGAGCTGATGGAGGACTGGAGCACTATGGAGGTGTGTGTGGACTGCAAGAAGTTCATTTCAGAAATCATCAGCTCCAGTCGCCGCAGTCTGTTCCTGGCCAACAAGCGAGCGCGGTTAAAACACAAAACACAATCCTTTTACATGGCCTCAACGAGCTCCGTGGAGTTCCAACTCGCATCACCCAAGGAGAGAACTATCAAAGAGGTTTAGACTTGTGCCTTCCCCCTTTCCTCTCTCTCTGTCTCTCCCTCTCCCCCCTCTCCCTGTCTCTCTCCTCCTCTCCCCCCTCTCTCGCCCCCTCTCCCCCTTCTCTCTCCGCCTCCCATCTCTCTCTCCCTCTCCCGCTTGTTTCTCTCCCTCACTCTCCCTCTCCCCCTCTTTCCCCCCACTCTCTCTCTCTCTCTCTCCCCCCGCACTCTCTCCCCCTTCTCAGCCTTATCTCTCTCTCTCTCCTCCCCTCCCTTCCCCCTTCTCCCTCTCTCTCCCTCCATTCTCCCCCTCTCCTTTCTCTCCCTCTCTCCCCGTCTCTCCCTCCTTCCTCGTACACTCGTCCCCCCCTCTCTCTCTCCTCCCCCATCTCCCTCTCTCCCTCTCTCCATCCCTTTTTCTCTCCTTTCTCTCCCCCACCCTCTCTCTCCTCCTTTGTCTCTCCCTCTCTTCTTGTTGCCTGTTTTCAAGCCAACGTCCCTCATAGAACAAAGTAATTTGGGGACAGACAAGAACGAGCGAGTTCCTGACGATGGGAATGAGGACTTGATGCGAAATTTCACATGTATCCAACATTGAGATGAGACAAAATGAAAAGTCAGGGTTCATTTGTATTTGGTCAGACCTTTGTCACAGGGTCTTATCACGTATGTTAAAAGTGTACAAAATGTAATCTATTTTATTAACTGGAGCTGTCTGTCTGGGGCCTTGTTTGACAATAGAAAGTGGACATTGTTTCTCTCTCGATACCACTGACCGCAGTTAGAAAATACCGACTTGTACAATATTTAATCTTTGTGCTAAACCTACATGGAATCCACGACCAATGTTCTTTGTTTTATTTGGGACCTTTTACCGTGCGATGACCTTATTCTGTGCAGGCAATTTTTTTTTAACTTAAATTTGTCGCGTCTTAAGGTTTGGAGATCGGTGGGAAAGCAATACCTTATTTTTAAAAAAGGCTAATTTTGCGGTATTTCCAGATGGATTTCCTGATTAAGAAAAAACAAATAGTGTGGAGTCCTGTAGCTCAGGGTTACAGCCCGCACCTCGCAAGCAAGAGGACCCGGGTTCGATTCCTGGGCAGAGGTTTCCTTACTGCACACTTGTTTACCAGCAGTGAGTAGGAACCCAGTTGTTAGTCGATTGGCGGATCACTTTCTGGGGGTAATAATCCCTTAATAAATAATAATAATAATAATGTGGTCACTCAATCCATGACTGCTTGTGGGACGCTGCTGTGTGCAATTGGCTGCCACGTTTCACCCACAAAATAGTCACTACACTTTACAGTATATCCTGAAGTTCTTTTGAGATGTCTCAATGAAGTGATAAGGCACTTAATAAATCAAATGTAATGTAAGTTATTATTATAATTGTTGCTTCTGGTAACTAACTAAGCGACGTGGGTCTCTCTGCTTTGGGGGACTCTGGAGATAGATTGAGATGAAACAGTTCCCCACACGGTATTGTCTGGCGCGGAATTCCACGCTTCTTAATTAAGAAATTGGTGATGGAATACCATAAAGTTGACCTGTGCAGTTTCACGGAGGAGGAAAACACTGCAAAAGCACTCACTGTTTTGCAATTTATTTTATTTTATTATAAGATTTTGTTTAAGAATTTTTTCCACTTGAGTAACAATTAAGTGAAAGCACTTACCTCTCCCTAACCCTAACCCTCTCCACACCTCCCTCTCCCTCACCCTCTCCACACCTCCCTCTCCCTCACCCTCTCCACACCTCCCTCTCCCTCTCCCTAACCCTCTGCATTGGACACTCCAAAGCCAGCTGCTACATTTGCACTTATTTTTCCCGGCAGGGCAAAACCTTAGGGAAGTTTCCTTACTCCACACTCCTCTGTTTACCAGCAGTAAGCAGGAATCTGGCTGTTGGTCGATTGGTGGATCGCTTTTCTTTCCAAAAAAACAATAAATTGGTCACTCAATCCACGACTGTTTGTGGGACGCTGCTGTGCGCAATCGGCTGCTGTGTTTCCCCCACAAAATGTACAGTCAATTCACTTTACAGTGTATCCTGTGAAGCGCTTTGAGACGTCTCGAAGACGTGATAAGGCGCCGTATCAAATGCCGGGATTATTATTGTTATTAACAGTGAGATTTGGCTTCCTGGCCGGAGTTTGTTGGTTGACAGTCAGAACTCTTCAGGAATGTGGCTCATCATTAAAAGGAGACTCTTTCCCCCACTGCTCCCCCCCACACAGCTCCCCCAATCTATGCTGTAGATGATAACAATCACTTGCCGCACAGTCAGTTTTTACTGATTTATTTGGATGTTTGTTGTGTGTAAATGCAATAATTGTTCAGACATTAAAACAAAAACAGACGTGAGACCAACTCCCACAGCAATAACTATAGGAACAGCGGCTTTCAATCTGCAGATACCGTGTAGACATTACGTGTAAACTTCCTTTAGAAGCCAAAGCTGCTGATTCCTTTCGAGCAATTATTGTATGTTAGCAACCTGCACAAACCTCCGTTTTTCTCGTTGTTTAAACCGGATGTGATCGATCATGAGAATATTCTTAAACAGCGCTTAGTCTTCCCACAGATTCCTACAGCGATCAGAAGAATTGCCAAAATATTTATTTGTTGATTGTAATTCCTGGAATAAACTGAAGTGTTCAGAGATTGTTTTTTTTCAATTATCTGTGGCTTCACCCACTTTACAGTATATTCTGTGAAGCGCTTTGAGTCCGTCTCAAAGACATGATAAGGTGTGATGCCAAATCCTTGTTTGTCGGCCCCCAACTCCTCCCTCCACAGCTGCAGATCATCCAGAACCAACTCTGCAGCCCGTGTCCTCTCCCCACCAAACTCTGTGACCCCATCTCCCCCATTCAAAAAACTTGTCGTCAGCTTCAAGGCCCTCCATGGCCTGGCTCCCCCCTACCTGAGAACCAATCTCACAGTCTCTTCGCCTCGTCCCCACCCTCGCCTCCTTCAAGACCCGTCTTGGACCTGGGTTTGATTCCCCGGCAGCACGAAAAGTTGGGCAAGTTTCCTCACTCCACACGTCTCTGTTTACCTAACAGTAAGTAGGAACCCGGTTATTAGACATTGGATGATTGCTCTCCGGGGGTAATAATCCCTTCAAAAAGTAAAAATAAAAAATGTTAATACAATAACAACAAGATTGCATTTATAGAGCGCCTTTCACGTCGGGAGGAAGTCCCAAGGCACTGGACAGTTGGGTCAGGACCCGAGTATTGGGGGGGAAATGGTCAGGATGAGGGAAGGGAGGGAGCGAGGAGGGGGCAAATGGTCAGGGTGAGGGGAAGGAAGGGAGGGAGCGAGGAGGGGAGAAATGGTCAGAGTGAGGGGAGGGAAGGGAGGGGGTGAGGAGGGGGGAAATGGTCAGGGTGAGGGGAGGGGGCGAGGAGGGGGGAAATGGTCAGGGTGAGGGAAGGGAGGGGGCGAGGAGGGGGTAGAGAGTCGAGAGGGGAGCTGAAGGCTGAAGGTCAAAGAGAAAGGTCTTGAGACCGGCCTTGAAGGAGGAAAGGGAGGAAGCGGCGAAGGCACTGGGGATAGAGTTCCAGAGCCTCGGGGCTGAGAGGCTGAAGGCCACCGATGGTCGGGCGGTTGGGGCGGGGGATGTGGAGCAGACCGGAGCCGGAGGAACGGAGGGTACTGGCAGGTGAGTGGGGGATAGTAGGTCGGAGAGGTAGGAGGGAGCGAGGCCGTGAATGGCCTTGTAGGTGAGGATGAGGATCTTGAATTCGATCCTCTGGGGGATGGGGAGCCAGTGGAGGCGAGCGAGGGCGAGGGTGAGGGTGAGGGCGAGGGTGAGGGTGGGAGTGATGTGGTCGCGGTGTCCGGTGCGGGACAGTACACGAGCTGCAGAGTTCTGAATGACCTGCAGTGTGGAGGGAGGTGGCGGGAAGGCCGACGAGGAGAGAGTTCCCATAGTCCGGCCTTGAGGTGATAAAGGTGTGGACCAGAGTTTCAGCCGCGTGAGGGGTGAGGCAGTGCCGTAGTCTGGCGATGTTCCGGAGGTGATGGAAGGCGGTGCCAGTTGTGGTGCGGATAATTTGGTCACTGAATCCACAACTGTTTTGCCGCGTTTCATCCACAAAATATAATCAATTTACTTTACAGTGTATCCTGTGACGTGGTTTGAAATGTCTCAAAGACGTGATAAAGCATTATATCAAATGCGGGATTGTTATAAATATGTAACGTCTGGAACTTGCAGTTTCCCTTTACACATGTGGACCATTCAGATGAGACATTAAACCGAGGTCCCGGTTCAGGCGGATGGTAAAGATCCCGCGGGGCTATTGGAAAAGAGAAGGGAGTTTCTCTCTCTCTCCCGGTGTCCCGGACAACAATCCCCAAATAATATTGCCCACTCGCCCCACGGCTGTTTGTGGGGCACTGCTGTGTGCAATTGGAAGCCGAGTTTCACCACAAAATACGCAGTCACTTTACAGTATATCCTTTAAGCGCTCTGAGACACAGCGTAGCTGAAACTGCTTGTTAGTTAATTGGCAGATCACTTTCCGGAGGTAATAATCCCTTCATAAAAATAGTTTTTAAAAAAATCTGGTTATTCAATTCAGGACTGTTTGTGGGACGCTGCTGTGCACAATTAAATCATAGAATCATAGAATTGTACAGCACAAAAAGAGGCCATTCGGCCCATCGAGTCTGTGCAGCTCTTTGAATAGAGCAATTAATGTCAGTCCCACTCCCGGCCCTTTCCCCATAACCTGCAAACCCGTCCTCCTCAAATACCCGTCCACCGCGTTTTTAAAAGTAGTTATCGAATCGGCCTCGACCGCCCTTTCAGGCGATGCCTTCCAGATTCCAACAACTCGCTGCGTGAAAACATGTCTTCTCCCCTCCCCTCGGCTTCTTTTAGAGACTATTTTGAATCTGTGACCTCGAGTCACCGACACTCCCACCAGTGGAAACAGTTTTTCCCTTTCTAACCTATCAAATCCCCTCATGATTTTGAAGACCTCTATCAGGTCCTCGTAACCTTCTCTGCTCCAATGAGAATAATCCTAACCTCTCCAGCCT